AAGGGAGGCAGCTGCCTGTCCTCAGAGCATGCCATCTCCTGCCCAAGAATTAAAAGGTCTGACTGTATGCCCAGGTGCTGTGGAGTCAGAGGATGCCTAGAGGAGCCACACAGAGGACCACAGCACAAGCAAGATATTCATTCATAGCAAACAGCTGCTCCAAAGAAACCAGAGCAGAATCAGAGAGAATCATGCTGAGTTGATGAACCCAACAAAGTGAATTTAAAATAAAATTTAACAGGATAATCAACTGAACCAGTTTTTGCTGCTGCTGCTGCTGCTGTTCTTGTTGTTGTTGTTTTTCTTGTTTTTTTTTATTAAGAAAAGCACAGGAGCTGAGTGTGGTGGTGCACAACTGGAATCCCAGCACTCCGGAGGCTGAGGCAGGGGATCGCTTCAAGTTCAAGGCCAGCCTGGGCTACAGAGTAAATTCAAGGCCAGACCAAACTACATAGTGAGACCCTATCTTAAAAAAATGTGAGGAGGAGCAAAAAGGAATTATATTTTCACATATACCCTTCTAAACTAAAATTTTTATAGCAGATAATTTTTAAACTTTTAAATAGAAAAAGGGAAACAATTAATGCATGCTTTGCCACAACCAATTCATTTTGATTGAAAGATATCACAGTTTTCATGGACCTATACTAAGATTCTTTTTGCAATTTGAGATAATTGTATTAGTCCTACCCTCTTGATGTCTTGAGCCATCTACTCCCCCCCTGCTTCCAGTCCTACTGGGCACCGGGGTCCTACACACAATACATGCAAAAGCCCCAAAGGGAAAAAAACCTGTCATCTGCAGCTGGTTTAGGTGACTGTCACCATGCCCTCATTCCTCCATTACACCCACTTGGTTGATGGAGCTGACTCTAGAGCAGTGGTGGCGAGCTACCTCTCTGTCAGCACATGAATAAAGTCAGCCCAGCAGCTGAGCACTGGATAACAGTTGTTTTTTCTAAACTAAAACCTGAGTATTCAGGTTTAATTGCAGTGTTGACACTTTGCGATAAGTAAGTTTGAGGTTGCAGTTTGAGCACTCAGTCTCTAAAATGTTCACCATTACTGCTGTAGAGTTAGAGTAATGCAGAATGACCTAAAACTGAACTGAGTCTAAAGGCAGGATTGCAATTGCCGCCATCTCTCAGGATCCTTGGGAGATCAGTTCCAAGACCCCTGAGAATACTAAAATGCAGGGGTGCTCATGTGCCTAATATAAAATGACATAGTATTTGCATATAATCCATGTACATCCTCCTCTATATTTTAAGTCATCCCTAGATCACTCATAATACCCAAGACAATGCAAATACTATGTAAATATTTTATACTGTATAGTTTAGGAAATCATGGACACAAAAACTCCATACATATTCAGTACAGATAAAAATTTTTTCTAATATTTTTTATCCTCCGTTGGCTTGATCCAAATATGCAAAACCTGTAGATAAGGAGGGCTGACTGTATGTCCCAAGTAACCCTGATGAGAGGCTCATAGGTAGAATTCCGCAGGAATAAGAGCTTGGTTGGACACTGAGTACCATGACGTGCAATACAGTAAGAGACCCCTCCCAGAGAGAAATAGCCATGCTAGAACTGTGAAAATATTTGTCGAGTTTTGGTCTCACAGGTGAGTGATACCAGTTTTTGTTTATATCCACTTCCATGGTTGCATGCACTATGTGCTGATGACTCAAATCTTCTGAGCTCTTGACCTGAATATCCAATTCCCAACACAGTATTTTCACTCATCTGTCTCCCGGACACTCGAAACACAGCACATTCAAAGACTTTGAGCCCTTGAGCTTCTGTCTGAAACCTCTTCCTCCTGCAATGTTCTCAGTCTCCAGGAATAGAATGACCATTCACACAGGTACTCAAACCAGAAACTCTAGATTTGTTCTTGACACAGCCTAACTTCCTGCTTGTAATTACTCACCAAGCCTTGCAGATTCCGGCTCTTGACTGGTATGAATCCATGCCTTTCCACCATCCACATTGCCACACCCCCAGATAAGTGGTTACCATCTCTTTCTCAAACTCCTGCAAAATCTCGATGTCCACACTTACTCTTGTCCCAAGTCTCTAAATCTATCATTTTAAGTATAAAACTGGTATTTTTCTCTTAAAATAATTAAATGACTTTCTAATAAAATCCAGAATTTGGCTATCAAACTCACCTTAATTTTTCATCCACTCAATAAATGTTTACTAAGAACTTCTATGTGCAAAGCACTGTCCAAGCACTAAAATACAATAGTGAGTGAAACAGATAAAAATTCTTGCCTTCATATTCTAGAAGTAGAGACAGAAAATTTGGAAAACAAAATAAGTAAAATATATAACACTTTGAAGACTAAAATATGTGATAGAAAACTGAGGGAAGCTCTCAGATAAAGACAGGAAAGAGTGAAGAAACAAACATCCATTTGTCGGTATCCAAATACCAGGGACAGGTATTTCACACAGGGACAGAAAGAGAACAGACTCTGGGAAAGCATCGTACTTCACATGTTCAGCATTTTGTAAGCAGGCTAGTGTGACAAGAGTGAGCTCAGCAAGTGTAGTTGGCAGGTAGGAGAGATGTTGCCAATCATGAAGGATATTTAGGTCATCAAATGTACAAGACCTTTCACTCAGCATGAAATGGGAAGATGTGAGCGGTCATGAGCAGAGGTGTGACATAGGGCAATTGCTACTGCTCTGGAGATTGGTTGTAGACCCTGGAAATTGAGTGTTGGATAACAGTATCAAGATCTGAGCTTGCACCACGTTTTCATTCTACTGGCAGAAGATAAGCAATGCACAATAGCAGGGGATTTAGCTCAGTGGTTTCGCCACCTACCTTGCAAGCAGAAGGTCCCAAGTTCAATCCCCGGTACCAAAAAATTAATAAGCAATGCACAATAAATAAGTGAACAAGGTAATCTCAGGTCATGACCAATACTGATAAAATTAAGACATAATGAGGTACTAGGGTGAAAAGGCTGCCTCACATTTTCAGGAGCTCAGGGAAAGCCATTCTAAGGCAATGATGTTTTCACCCAGACAGAAAATGTAAAGTAGAAGATGGCCACAGGGACACCTGGGAATAAATGCAGAGGTACTGAAGTGGGCATGAGCTGCAATATCCACATAATGGAAGGGAGCCAGTGTGGCTGGCAAACAGTATATGAGTGGAGGTGGTGGGGACTGACCTGAGAGAAACTGCAGGGTCCATGTAATTTATGGAGCAGTCATGATAAAGCTTTCACATTTTGTTTTAAGTAAAATGGAACTCTAGTGCAAGATTTTAAATCTTAAAATAATCTGATTTATGATTTTTAAATCTTTTATGGCTGATTAGGTACAGATTGAAGGGAAGCAAAACTGGTCGTAAATCGGACAAGCAATGTTGGAATAAAGCAGTACTGGAATGAGGAGATGGTTATGTAATATACTTTGGAGAATGTGGCTGTGGAGTGTGAGGAAAACGAACAAAATGACACCAAACTGGAGTTCAGGCCTCAGCTATTGAATTTCATTTCCTGCAATATGGAAGCAGAAGGGAAAAACATAAAGTAGAGATGAGAATAAACAGTTAAATTTGAGTTACTTCGTAGACTTCCAAACATAGACTTCAAGTAGGAAGCTGAATGTCTGAGGAGAAAGGCTGAGGAGAAGTGAACTTTGAGTCATCTGCATGTGGGTACTATGTAAAGCTTTGGGCTCTATAGAATTACCAGGGAGAGATCATAACTGCAGCAGAGTTTGGGGTTCCGGGATCATACTAATATTTACTGGACAAACACAGAAATAGCCAAGAAAATAACTGAGAAGATACAACAAGTGGTCCAAACAAGTCAAATAAATAGGAGTAGAAAAACAACAGCTGAATTTAGCAGTATGAAAAGCATTGGTGACCTTGCAAGTTTAATTTCACTGCAGAGAGAACAGAAGTCCAACTGTTGGAGAAAGGAGAGAGTAAAAGATGAGAACATGGATCCAGAGGCCATAGACAATTTTTTGGAGAAGTTCCCCTCTGCAGGTTTGTATTATTTTTATTAGTGATCTTGGAACATGCTAATATGACAATGGTGATGTCCCAGGAGAAAGATAAATGGATTATACATGAGGGGCTTAATTCTAATGCATTGTTCAGATTTTATATTAATTAATTCAAGTTCTCAAAGCTGCATTCCAGCTGACTTTTCTACCTCCAGAACCATAGACTCTGACTCCAGCTATAATCAGTCATCAATAAAAGGACTGCCCTTCATCATCAGGGGCATGGATGACAGAATGTGGATGGATCAACTCAAATCCAATAGCATAGCTAGGGGAGAACTCCATGGAGGCCACCAAGAAGGTGAGTCAGCTACAGCACTAAGGTAATATACAGCTAGTTATTGTTGACTGGTCTACAAAACACACCTGCTTTTGAGTGTAGAGGGTATTATCAATATACAGCAAGGGCCCATATCTTCTCAAGGACAAGGAATGCCTCTGATTCATTTCCATAGCCACAGCACTAACTCTAATAGCAGGCACACAGAAGATGTTCAATAAAAGTTTGTGGAAGGAAGGAAGGAAGGAAGGAAGGAGTAAAAGATAGGAAGAGGAAGGGAGGGCTTATGTAAAATGTAAGGTTACTGCCCTCATCGTGGTTTTAAAGTCCAGGGTGAGTTCCAATATGGCTTCTTTCTTTAAAACTCTTTGGTAACATCAAGTAAACTAAAATGCTTGTTTAAATTTTGCTTCATCACTAATCCACCTCTTTCAACACATACACACACTACTCATACAAAAACACAATTTATGCATAGTATATGATCTGTCTTAGAGACTAGTAAGAGACCCTCAATGTGGTTGGTGAAAGTTTTATCTTATATTTTCCAGAAAGCAGAGACAAATTCACAGGATTATTTTCCCTCATCTGCAAAAATGACATCTATGAGGTCATAAAGACCAACACTGTAAGAAGCCCCTGAAAATCCCAGGGGAAAACATTGCAAGATCGGGGCTCTTCAATGCTCTCTTGGGAATGCAAGTCAGCACAATAGCAGAATCACTCTGCAGAGTGTTGAAATTGCCACCCTAACTAAGGAAATCCAAAGGAAAATAAGGCCTGAATAAGAACCTGGAATCCTCCTGCTCTGAGCTGGATCAAGGACCAAAGGGAAACCTACTGGTTGTGAGTGCTTCTGTTTCACTGACTCTTGATCACCAGCCACTGGGTCTGCTTCTACCAGCAATTTATGGCTCCTGCAGCTTCTCTGAGAACAGGTTTGGGGCTTCTTTGATTTCAGCCATCAGCTCAGCCTCATGCATCATCCTATATCTTCCAGGAGTTGTGCTACCAGCCACCCCCAGCAGAAGGATAAAAGATGTTCTGGGAAAGGAAAGAGACTAATGGGTTTCTCCTTCTGGGCCATCACCTTTCAAACATCATAGAATGTCAACTCTAGCTTTCTGCAGATATGATCAAAAATAAGCCAGGAAGATGGATTTATACCTGCCTCTTCCTCACACTTTTTTTTTGTTCCATGATACATATTTGTAGGAATAGAAGAGCAGATCAATAAACTCCTTTGCCTTATGGTAAAGATGTCACTGATGCTCAAATCTGCAAATTAATCAAGTCTTCCCTGATAATTAAAGCCACTAATCATGCACCCTACTAGATAGCATCACAAAATATTCCAACTGAACTTATTCTCGCCAAATGGACATCTTTCTAAACTCTCCCTCTCCATCAACAGTCAATGAAGTCCTCCCCCCTTCTCTCAAACCCAGGCAACCTCACCTTCTCCACACCCACTACTCTTAGTCAAGCCTTACATCTTTTGCCTGACCATTCTGAAAGCCCTTCATTCCACTAATTTCTTCTCTACCCTCTATTCTTTCTAAATCAATGAGGGCTCTTCCTCCAACAAATGTTCTTTAGATTCTGCCACTTCCAAGGATTCCAAGGTCTGCTGCCAGCTCAAGCAGTAGTTGGGCCCCACAAATCACATCTGTAGCAGCCTCTAAGTGCCTGAATCACTGCAAGCAGCCCTGAATGAGCAAGGAACCCTGGGGCCCCTTTTGCGTGTGATACTAAGAATTGAACCTAGGGCCTTTGCTCTGAGCTACATCTCCACCCTTTCTTAAAAACATATTTTATCTTGATGCAGGAGCTCACTAAGTTGCCTAGTCTTGGCTCAAACTTGCCATCTTCCTACTTCAGCCTCCCAGAATGCTATGATTAGAGGTATGTGCCACCACAATGTGTTCTCCTTGGCCCCAATTACATAGGCACTTCCTCTTTTTGCCAAACTCCAATTTTTTTTTACAATCTTTGACTCTGATTTTTTTTCTTCTGATTCTCACTGTAGATCTGGCTGAAAGCAGCCAGGAGTGTCCGTGCTACATTCTGAACATGGAGCTGTCTTGAAATCTCTTCCACCAGATCAATTAGTCCACCACCTGCAAATCAGCACTCAGAAGGCTGAGACAGGAGGATCATGATTATGAAGCCAGACCAACTTACGTAGAAAGAGTGTGTAGGGGTCTCAAAAAGTCTCAAAAAATTTTTTTAAAAGCCAGACACTTTCCTTTACTGTAATCCCTAAGGGAGGCCCTGTGTTCAATTCTAAGTATCACACACACACACACACACACACACACACACACACACACACAAATCACCTTAACATATTCTTAAGACATGGGCAAAATGTAGACAATCTCTTTGTCAGAATTTAACATGCATGGCCTCTAGTCCAAATTTCAGAAGAAATTTCTTTCCCAACTAAAACCTTATGAGCCTAGGCTCTGCTGTCCACATTCCTATGAGTTCTTCGGTCTTATGAGCTCCAAATAGTATCACCAATTAAACTTGGCTTACATCATTCTAGGTTTTTTTTACCTCACATCTCCAAACTTTTCCAAACATCTTCAAACCAGTTCCAAAGGCTTCTGAGATACATGGTCAGGTATAGTCACACCGCTGACTTGGTACCAATTTTCTATGCTAGTCACTTTCCCATTACTGGAATAAAATACTCAATACCTGTATGTTAAAGAAGCACAGATTTATTCTGACTCACTCTTTCAGGGGGTTCAATCTAGAGTTGGCTGGCTCCAAGGCAGTACTAGCATGGCAGAAGGGCATGGTGGACAAAAGTTGTTTATATCATGGAAGCTGGGAAGCAGAAAGAAACAAGAGGATCCAGGAACAAGAGCACACCTTCCAGAGCCAGAGATTTAGCTCAGTGATTCTGTCACCTGCCTCGCAAGCTCAAGGTCCCAAGTTTGATCCCTGGTACCCCCCCCAAAAAAAAACCTAAATAAATAAATAAATAAAATGAGAAGTTGTTATAAGAAAAAGAGTACACCTTCCCGATCATGACTCCAGTGACCCATGTCCTCCAACCAGGCCCCCCCTCCAGATGTATGTTCAGCTATAACTCATCAATAGATTAGTCCACTGATTCCATCACCTTCTGAAAGCCCCACTTCTGAATATATGAGACTTTGGGGGAAAATGTATATCTAAATCATAGCAGGAAGTCACTATACTTCTAGTCTTGCCCTCCAGTTTATCCCCTAAACAACTGCCAGAAGCTGTGGCTCAAAATGTGATCTGGCCACTATTCAACCAATGAGGTATGGCATGAGGTAAAGACTGGGGTATATGAGACCCTCCACCATCTGTCCTTTTCCTATATTTCCAATCTTAGTTTCTATTATGTTACTGTCAATATTTTAATAGTTTTGTTGAAGTATAATTGGCTTATAATAAGCTATACTTACTTAAAATGTACCGTTTGATACTTTCTTGCCAGATGTGTACATCCTTGAAATTGTCACTAGTATCATGATAGTGAAAATATCTATACAGTACTCCCAGGAGTTCATTCATGGCCCTTTGTAATACCTCCTCCCCAACCATCTCCAGCCCCATCTCCCCAAGCAAATAACTATGTGCTACCTGTAGTTATAGCGTTAGCTTGTACTTCCTAGTTTTAAAATAAATTATTTCTCTAATTTTTATCTAATGTTTATTATTTTTGCCTGAATTCTTTAAGTATAATTATTTTTATATGTATTCCTGTTGTTTCACATTATCAATAGTTCATTTCTCTTATATATTCTGGAAAGAAGTTCTTTATGAGCTATAAAAATCTGCAAATATTTTCCCAGTCTCTTATTTTTTATTCCATCAATAGTGGGTTTTGTAAACACCAATTGTTTTAATTTTGATGAAGACTAATTTTCTTTTTTCCCTTTTATGGATCATGCTTTTGGTACCTAAGAAATGTTTGTATAGCCCAAGGTCACAGAGATTTCCTTGGATTTTTCTTGTAGAAGTTTTATAGTTTTAGGTTTTACACTTGGGTTTATGATCCATTTTGAGATAATTTTATGTGGCTAGACTATGGATCAGCCCTCCCCTACCACATGCATATGCAGCTGTTCCAGACTCGCTTGTTAAAAGACTATCCTTTCTCCACTAGATCTCCTTTCCACCTTTGTTAGAATCAGTTGCCTATTTATGTATAGGCTTATTTCTGCACTCGCTATCCTATGCTATTGTCTCTTTTAATGCCAATATCAGACAAAGGTGATTGTTGTAGCTTTATAGTAAATCTTGAAATGAGATAATATTAGACTTCTAAATTTGTTCTTTTTAAAAATTATTATTTGATCCTTGTGAATTTTAGAATGAGCTTGCCATTTTCTACTGGGATGCTCAGTTTAGGGAATTTTCTTTGGGGTTGCAATGTATTATAGAATAATTTGAAAACAATTGACATGTTTACAATACTAGATTTCAAAACCATAAGCATAGCCTATCTCTCCATTATTTGGTCTCCTTTCATTTTTCTTGGCAGTGTTTTGTAATTTGCAGTGAAATATAACCACTTTGGTTTCTTAAGATTCTTAACTCCGCATCCTCAACTCAGAGAGTCCACTGGGGTTTATTTGGGTTCCCTTCCCCATACCAAACCCAGGACACTATTGCAAAACAGAGATCTGGGGATGTCTTAGAACTCCCCTCATTTATTTGTGTCTCTCAAGGACTGTTACACATTTGCTAATGCCCAATCTCTTTAAAACTGTGTTCTGTACCTTTTGTCTGAACTTCAGGAAAATATGTCCTCCTGTGATTGCACCCTAGCAGAAGCTATAATATCCACTAAGCTATCTTATTTCTCCTGAACACACCATTCTGTTTCCTGCTTTGAGGCTTTGACCATGGTACTTCATTTGGAGTGCCTTTTCCCCTTCACCAACCTGAATAACCCTTGCTTATCTCTCAAAACTCAAATGTTAACTTCCCTAAGAGCATCCTCTCTGAATCCCAAGGTGGAATGTTGCTCTCCTCCTCCTCCTCCTCACTCCCAAATTTTGTTGTGAATGTTCCTGCTATTCCTCCTCTTTATCGCCTTATATTCAAATTTTCTTATAACTGTCTTACTACATGATTATGAGCCCTCAAAACAAGGGCCCAAGTTTACTTTCTTTGTATTTTTGGTGTCTGATAAGAACTTGGCACACAGCAGGCACTCCATAAATGTTTGTTGACCTATATCATTGGGACACAAATTACAAGCAATGGGTAAGGAATGATATCTTCCCTTAGGGACTGTCACCTCTAGAAGGGCAGAGATGGTGTTTCCTTCTGAGAACAACTGTCAGTTCCACTAATTCAGCTCCACTGTTGCTCAATGAGTGCTGCTGCTACAGGTTGGATTTCTGGGTCAAAGAGCATTTTTAAAATGGAGAGTTAATGGCAAATTATTCTCCAAGACTGGAGAATATTCAATTTATATCAATAATAATGTATGGGAATTTCTACTTATCCTCAATAATACTATGGAGTTGTTTATTGTTTTGTTTATATTTTTTTAAGTTTTGCCAGTCTAATGTGAGAAAATAGTATCTTATTGCTAAAATTACATTTCACTATTTTTAGTAAGATTGAGGGGCTTTAAGTAAGTCATTTAAACTATGTTATAATTCCTATTTACACTTCCAGATATCATTCCTAGTTGTAACCATCTGTCTGTCTTAGTTACTTCTTTGATGTTGAGACAAAATACCCAACACCAGAGGCTAAGGGAGGAAAGGTTTACTTCAGCTCACAGTTTGTAGAGGTTTCAGTTCACAATCTGCTGGCCCCAAGGCAGGGTGGCATGGCAGAGGAACATGGCAGAGGAGAGACAGTCCAGGCGAGGCAGCAAAGCAGCAAAGTAGTGAAGCAGTAGAACCAAGCCTTCTTTCTGTCCCTTATATTTCATCCAGGCCAGGCTACCCTCCCTGGGCGCAGGTAGCACTCACACCCAGGGTGGGGCACCCTTAATCCCAGCATCACACACCCTAGAGTCAGCCACCTCCAAAAAGCTGCAGCTATGGCTGCATGAGGCTTTGGGGAGGACATCTAGACACAAACCGTAACACCATCCTACTTATTCTGTCTACCCGCCTGCAGCACAGATCCATTCTCCTTCCTTCTACTTCTATGTCTTGCTGTGGCTCAGGCTGAGGAGAGAAGACCTTGGTCCTCCAAGATCTCTTCAAGCTCCAATACACTGTTCCTTCTCCTTCTGCCTCCAGGTGTTTCCCTATTTATTTACTTACTTACTTATTTGAAACACGATCTCTTTATATAGTTTAGGCTAGCCTTGAACTCACTATGTAGCCCAAACTAGCCTTAAATTTGTGACAATCCTCCTGCCTCAGCCTCCTGAGTGCTGGAATTACAAGTATATGCCCCCATGCACAATCCTATCAATCCTGGTCACTGTTCTGGACATAGCCCCTTTGTTCAACTCTTCTTCACTAAAATCCTTTTAGAAAGCCACTGCTTCCTGCTGAGATTTGGCTGATAGAATAACCTTTGCCTGTTTTTATATTATAATCTCACTTTATATATTAATCAGTTTGTTCAAAATCTACATAGAATGTATTATGGATACCTCACTCTTTATTAATTAATATTTATATTGCAGATATTTTCTCCCTGTATGTAATTTTTCTTTTATGATAGTCTTTGTATTTTTCTACCATACAAGTGTTTTTTTCTTTTTTTCCCCCCTCAGTTTAGCTTAATGGTTACAATGCTAAACCTGAACCTTTAAAAAAGTAATATGACATTCCCATATTTGATTAGAAAACTTCTTGGTGCATCATTCTTAAACTCTTTTCCAGGGGTCACCATAAGTTTGTCCAATAGTTAGCATGATCTTGATTACAACTGGCTTATTTAGCACCCAAGCTCTCGCAGTCTTCTATTTAGAGATTCCTCTGTAAGAATTCACAGCTTGCCACAGGCCTCCTGGCTGTCTCTGACTCCTTTCCAGATGATCGCTGGCATGAGTAGGACATGTCTAAGTTCTCTGACAAATTCTAAGCGCCAGGAACACAGTAATCTTGTCTCTTCATTCCCTACCTTATAACGATATTACGTCTCACAAAATCAGTGCAATAACTGGCAACCAGAAGGAACAGCATTTCCTCTCTGTGTCCCTGCTCCTCAGTCCTGCACTTTTGTTATTTACCCGTGATGCATCAGCCTAGCAGGTGTTGAGCCAATTACTGTCACTTACAGAATGAAGCTTGTCATGTCATCTATTCCATAACATACTCATAAATAACATCTATGCCCCCTGAGATCTGCTAGAAATTCAGTGCAGAGCAGGAGCCCAGAAATGGGTAGGCAAATTTCACATGCAGGTAATTTATTTACACAATAGCAAAAACCCTAATAAAAGATAAAGTTGCACGTCTCCTTTTTCATCTTAAAACTGTGAAGTAGTTGAAGTAGTTCCTCTTTGAAGAGGTTAGGATCAGCTCTCCTAAAATAGGAAGAAGGAATACTACCACTTGGAAAATGGATGTAATAGACAGTTGATTTTTATTGTGGAAGGGGCTATGATCAGGCACAAGAGTGACCCATTAGGGAAGAGGCAGGGAAAGGCCACTGGAACTGAGCAGAAGTTTGCATATCTGGGCCATATACCTGAGCCATGATAAAAATGGAACTGTGGTGTGGAAGAGGGAGAGCAGTGCATTGTGTGACGCACACAGGTGTCTGGAAGCTGGGATGCGTTAGCAGGTCAACCACTGTGAGAATATAACCGGTCATTCAGTAGTTCTAATACATTAGGGGACATCAGTAAGCAAAATATTAATTTATCTTTTGGCCATCATCCCTTTTTTGCACTGAAATTTTACCTATCCACTTTCCAG